TCCGCACAGGACAGTGCAGGTGGGTCACCCGTCTAAATTGCTAAGGGGTACTTCGTACCTATCCTGGGAAATTTATCCATTCCCCACTCAATTTGCATAGAAACCAGATAGCGCAGCAGGGCAGGTACCTTCTGAACCTTCCCTTCTGCAGACCAATTGACGATTGGCTCCCACCACCCACTGCATGCATGCGCGCCACAGTTTGACCTGATGGCGGGAGTACAAACCACCAAAAGTTCCGAACAAATGTCATGTCATTAAATAGCTAATTTTGGGGAGTGTCTGGTAAGAGACGTGTGTGTAGCTGTAACTGCACCACCCAGGCCAACAGCATCATTGCAGCAGACGGTCCCCTTCTTCGAGCGATGTACCATACTTGCCAACCTCTATGTCCTGAACGTGAGACCACGGCGCATGTCTTATTCACAAAGCGCGACCCTGGAAGCACCGAAAGTGCACCGCGGACACGGTCTATCCTGAGGATAAGAGTAAGGCCATGCTCCCGTAATGTTGTACACCGAGATTGAATGCTGGGGTGGTAGCAGCGGTATTTGGGCGGAGTGGTGTTGCGGGAGGTGTCGCTGGCTCGCGAGTTCGATATCGTCTGGAGTGGATCGGAGATCACCGTTAGCATTTCAGAAGATTGGGACTTCGGAGGCGTATTGTGGGGGACGCTGCAGGGGGTTCCCATCAGAGCTGCACCCACCCAGGCCTTGGCGACGCCGCGGAGAGCGTCGACGTCGGAGCCAGCAGCGCAGGAGCACCGCTGCGGTTGTCGGGAGAGCCATGAATACACCAACGATGGCAATCCCTGCTTCCGCGCTCAGTGACATGCTATGCTCCGGGCAGAGTGCGCAAATGTCTGGGTCGGTATGGAACTCGAACACAGTATTGGGCGGACCGGTGTTGTGGTGGTGTGACGGTTGGCGTGAGCAGCCTGCGCAAACCGTGAAGTGAGTGTTACTTTGCGTGCACAATCGTGGAAGATGGCGTAGCAGCGACACTCCTTTAAGAGCAGTGGAGCGATAGAGGAGGGGCCCAGGGGGCGAGAGGGTGTGCGTGCTCGAGGTCGGGAAGAAGGCAGGAGCAGCGAGACGGCTGCTAGAGTAATGATATATGAGATGGGTGTGGCTTTGTAGGAGGGCCTGGCCTTGCTATCAGGGGCGACTATGCTGGGTACCTACCTTAAGGCAAGTTCAACACATGGACTGCTCGGGAGGGCGGACTTGCAGATGCTCGGGAGTCCCAGGAGTCTGTGATCGCAGCGGGTCCAAGGTTGGCAGGACAGTCCTGGCAACACTCCCGCGCCATGGGTGTCGCGGGTGTGGGCCCCGGAGCTGAAAACTCTGGCAAGGCTTTTGGCCAGGGAGCCAGGTGGTTGGCAGGAACTGCCCTGCTCCATGCATTGCACGTCCCGCTCACAAGGCCACTTCACTGCGCAGACGAGCACACCATTTTGGTGGTGGACACGCGATGGAAGTTGGTACACAACAGCTGCCGGGGTTATCGTGCGCTCGGTATCTCACCTGACTGGGTAATTGTCCTCGGAGCTGGGGAAAGCGGGGTGCAGGTTTGATGAGTGCACCAGGCACGGCTTGTTCGTCAGGATCAGCCGTGACGTGAGTGCTGCTCACGGACGTTGTACACGACAAGCGTTCGCAAGTAATCCCGAGCCCGCATGAACCCGGCATATGTCTGTCGATGCCATGGGAGTAAAAGAGTCCGGGGTGCGCGCCCAGGGTTCCTTCACTGCCTTTCATCTGCAACAGCCCTCTCGACAGTGTGTCCTTCCAAGTCAACATGTGCAATTACATACAGGTGCCAACCGCGAATTCAAGCTCATCGAGATCGTCAGAAGCTGATTGTTAGCAGATCCAATACCACTGTGGCCATTTCCGGTTTCCTGTCCAACAATGGTGCTATGTCTACGAACGAACGCACAAGAAGGGCCAGCCGAACGTCACCTGTGCCGAATAGAGGTCAGTTGCTTCGTACGCCCTTGGGAATAATCTGCTGACTTTCTTCGAGGGGTGACGAGGTTTGTCGTAAGTTGCACCAGCGCCCAGGATAAGCTCGAATCATACTGAAGAGAGACAAAACAGCGGACTGTCGTCCTCAAACTCCTCCATCCTAGGAATGGATGATCACAAGGCCGCGCCAGAGCCCTTATGTATGAGTATGCGCATGTAGTACTAAGGACAGAGAGTTTGCCTGTGATCGTGGTACTGGAAGGTGATAGGGCTTGGGATGCTTTCAAGGTAGCTGCCAGAAAGCAGCAGAGTCTTGATTGTCATGGGGAGGACACTTAATTGCATTGATATCGGCCTTCAAGTATTCAGAACGAGTGACCTGGAAAGTCAGAGTAACAATAAATAGACAAATATCACGTTTGACGAGCGGCCACGCAACGCAGCTGAAAATCATTGACGAGGTTCAAAGCCTCGATGTCGTCGGCAAAGCCATCGGCGACTCACAGTTGCAAGCTGATGTAAGACGATCATACTAGTGTTTATACTGGCAAAGAGCCATTCGGAGATAGCACAAGTGCTGGCCTCGGCAGGCCCCTGACCCCGGCAATCAGAGTTGCCGCCGCGTCGCTGGCCATGTTGCGAGTGGGTCCAGGCTGGAGCCTTTCGGAGGGGTAACGATTGTCAGTGGCGAGGGTGGACTGCTCCTGGCTCAGTGCCACGCTAGGTATTTGATTTCAACAGGCAAGCTCATCGCCTGGTATGTGCGGACAATAGCCAAGGCAGAGCACTACATAGACTGCGGCTCATAACTGACATATAGACAACCAAGCTCAAACTTCAACAGCAATAAAGATAACCAGTGAACGATCCAAGGTTCGCAGTGCGTCTTTCTCCCACTTGAAAGCGTTCCAGCACCTGCAACGTGGCTGCCACCATACAATTTCCGAGTCCCGATCAGCAGAATAGAGTACTACGCATCTCGCCGAGTATGGATCAACTTCGAGCGATCTTTCACCCTCACCAATTGGAAGCCGATGAACAGCACATCGATCTATACCATGTCGACGACAACCTGTCTCGTGCACTATACCAAGACGGCCTCGGTATCGAATACGGGGATCCTGATCTCTATACAATGAATGCTTGGTATGTCATCACACCATCTTCAATTAGGAATCATCTTGGTTGGAGCAATCTAGCTCCGACACAATTCATATCCTTCTTCAACAATCTGCAAGATGCAGAGCGCGAGCAAGTAAGACGACGCAATCAAACATGGGTTCCAGGTGGTCGTTACAGGAACCCAAAGTCGGTGCTCATCGCACATGTACGGCTTCGACAGGATACAAACATTTGGGCTTTCTCACGTTCGGAGATGCTGAGCATGATGGGCAGCTTTGATCCAGCGTCGCAAAGGGAGTTGTTCCAAGTGTCTGCGCCAAACGAGTGGTTTGTGTGGGGATTAGTGCCTGACGAGAGTGTGCAGAATAGACGTGCACTTTAGAAACACATGGCATAAATAGTTTCAAATTATCTTTTTCAAGCTTTGTTTCCTGATTCGCCGTTATGTGAAGAAGACAACGCGGCACTGGGCCGACGATCCGCTCTGGTCACTCCCTATATTCCCAGTATGGTCTTCTGAACGAGCTACGTTACGAGCTCGTATACAGTTTATCCTCGACAGGGAAAGGACATTGCTTTTCCTCTCTATGCTGAGTAGTGAAATGCACGCGCCGTAATTATTTGTGCAGTTGCACGGGTGACCCAAGTCTCATCTTGCTACGGCAGTCATGGCAGAGCCTTGGAAGATTCTCCTGATGTTGTTTCTGGTGTTATATCAGGTAATCATTTACTGGCATCAATCATGCTCGAGTACAGAGGACCACGGCCAGCCTCCTGAGAAGCAAGCATCTTTCTCATACCCGCTCCGTCTGCTCCCATGACACCTCGACCATAGATGACCTCGCCCAACATCCGTAATTGCATTGGGAATCTGCCATCGCCATAGCGGGTAGCAATTCCATCCTTCGACACTTTATCAAGCAGACACCATTCGCCACGCGTACTCCCAAGCCCTTCGCAAGCGGTTCGAGATTCGGCCGTCCACCACGAGGGAAGGAAGAAACCCTTTTGACCGTCGTTGTCCTTCGCTGCGTAAATCGAATCGACCTCTCGAAAATCCTCGAATTTCTCATTGTCGTCCATACGCAGCCGATAGGTGTCGATCAGTAACCTATATACATCTTGCTCAGGACGATCGTGTAGGTAAGTGCCGCGATCTAGCCGAGAGAACGGGTCAACGACATCCTGAATCGGCCCTTGGTTAGCGCTTGTGGCTTGACTTCGATCGAAGATTCGGCTGCGGCTACATTCGCGTTTATGCTCCGGCCAATGTTGAGCCTGGCAGTCACGGGAGCAGTACAGCGTGCTGCATCTCCCGCATCTGGGAAGCGAGGTACCGGCCGATACCCACCAAGAGAACACGACACGTTGAGAGTCATTATTATCTACGGCTTGACGTATCTGATGAGGCAAAAACTCTCACAGTACCAGACCAGACGGTTGACCCCGGGGGTCGGATCGTGAGAGGTAGCAAGATAGACAATAAAATCGCGTTTCAACTTTTCTTTCTTCTTCATCATCCTTTTCGATTACGAGGAACCCATGCCAATCATATCTTTGGGCCTCAGCGCGTAAGATTGGACGGGGAGAAGCTTCTTCGGAAGTCGACTGACCAACCCCCTCTGCGTCTCGGTTCGAATAGTACGCCAACCTGCCTCCTCGAACAGACTCAAAAAGCTCGAGTTCACCCTCGTCACACTCCCGTCGACCTCATCGAAGGCATCACAGCCACTGGTGCTCAAATTCTCCTTAATGACCATGATTCCGCTGTCAGGGTTTAGCGCAGCCCTGCACCGCTTCATGAAAGCCACAAGCTGCTCGTCGGTTAGGTAGCCCACGCACCACTGTACCCAGATCAAGTCGTACAAGATCCCCTCTGCGGGACACCAGTCTTCTAGCCCGACATTGAAAACGTTCCCTACCCCTTTTACCTCTTGCAAAGAGATGACAAACTTGGCAACAGGCTCTATGACATCGACCGCATCTGCCACTTCGACAAGCAGACCTTTCGTGATCCTCCCAATACTGTCTCGCATGTTCAGCATGAGCAACCACAACAGGTTTCCCCATCTCAAACACTTACCCCGCCCCACCCTCCAGCGCCAATTCAACCGTGCGTCGACCATTCTTCGTGCCAATCCCGAGCTTCGCGAGAAAACCGCGAGAACCTTGAAGGTCCACTTTGGAGACGTTGGAAAATCCGTTTATAGAAGGAATGCCACCGAGCATGCCGTTAATATCGGCATCAACGCCTTCCCATGGACTTTGCCCAGTGTCTATATGTCGTGCCGCGGGACATCGGAGAGTATACACGAAAGAGGTAGCGGGGTACGTCGTCAAATTTCTGCAGAAGCCAGTGCTTGTCACCTGTTGGGCAGAAGAGAAGCCGCTCGGGATCGAGACTTAGGCCTTGTAGGCCGTCCAAGACATTATTAAATTCCATTTTTTGCCCCGAAACGAAGTAGTTCTGAATTCGAATGGAGTAAATCGGAACGAAAGGTCTCTCCGTGGTCCGATGTGAGCGATTTGCTGGTAGGGAGTTGGAAAGTATGCCCATCAGCGATGACTACCGTGATATCGAAGCTGCCGCTGTCACCAGACCATCTTAAGCACAATTTTTTTTGTCATTATTCATGAGCTACGGCCTTCCACTAACACCTATCGCTCGACGTCTCTCCAACGAAATCACCAATCCCTCCTCAGCGCCAAAATCCTCTTCGCAGCATATTTGGCAGCAATCATAATCGGAGCCTGGGTATTTCCGGTAGGGACCTTCGGGTGGAAGCTCCCATCGACGACAAACAAGTTGTCCGTCCCCCACACCTTCGTGTCCTCGTCGACCACGCTCTTCCCGTCGTTGCTGACGCGCATCTGCGCGGTGCCCAGGTTGTGCGCGCCACTGGCAATCTTGGTCAGGATGGCCTCGGCGGTGACGTTGTCGGCCACGGTCAGGATGCTGTCCGGGAGGCGGGCGTACTCGAGGAACATGTTCACCCCGGCGGACATCGCCTCCCTGTCCTCGGCGGAGCGCAGGAGGGGGCTGATGGTCATGTTGGTCTTGCCGTCGGGCGTGATGGAGACCTCGCCGAGGGAGCTCGTCCCGTGGGTTAGGTACAGCTGGATCGAGATTGTGCTGTTGGCGCCGGCGCGGACGGTGCCCTGCACGGCGTACTGCCTGGTGGTGGTGGTGTTGAGGCTGGTCCAGAAGTTGAGACGCTGGCTGGACTGCATCAAGACGCCGCTGCTGTGGGCGAAGAGGTCGATGTTCTCCTGGCTCGGGGAGGGGAACGCCGTCGCGTGCAGGGCGGGGACGTTCTCCTTGGCGCCGGTCAGGGTGATGGTTGCCACGGCGTGGTTCTTGAGGCTCCGCCCGACGGGGAGCTCGATCCACTGCTCTTGGGAGGGAGCTCGACGTTGGTGGTGCCGCCGGCGACGATGTCAATCTGAGCGGCGGGGCCAATGCCAGAGTTGAAGAGCACGCGGGGAGTCGAGTGTGTGCCCGCTGCGACGAGAAGGGCGCCGTCCTCGGCGAGGGGGATGATCTCGCGGGTACCGTCTGCGCGCTCGACTTCGACGCCAGTGACTTTGCTGCCGGTGCGTATGGCACGCAGGACCTTGGCGCCGAGCTGCAGGGAGAAGCAGGCTCGTGCTTTGGCGGCGTCGAGGATCTTCCTCACTGGGGTGTCGCGGAGACCGTTGGCGATAGACCAAGCTGGGTGGGCGTAGACGAGCTCTTTCGCCTCGGGGTCTTTGATGGCATCAGTCTCCGACCAGCCATTGGCCAGGAGGAAGCGCGAAGTAATGTCAAACGCCGCATCATCGTAGCGCTTGCCGTCCTCGGAGGCCAGATTGGTGCCGGGCAGGTGTTCGTAGAGCTCGGCAGCTGCCTGAGCAATACCTTTGGGGACATCCCAGTGCCACGCTTCGGCCAGGAGGCAAAGTCGGCCCCACGAGGGCGGACAAACATCATGGCGTTGTTGTTGGTTGTGCCGCCGAGAAGGCAGCCTGCCTTGATGGACAGGTCATCGCACCAGCCGGCGTTGGGGTTGGCGATGGTGGCGTCGACAAGGCCGGGCCTCGTAGGTTGTCATGGTGTCGTTCCATGTCAGGACTTGTTGCGTGTTGCCCGTCGAGTAGAGGGAGGGCCCGCCGCGCTCGAGGAGAAGCACCTTGCGGCCGGACTGCGAGAGCTGTTCAGCAGCCACGATACCAGCCGCACCGGCGCCAGCAACGATGTAGTCGTATGCGGACTGCTCGACCTGGGCGGCCGCTGCCTCACCCAGGGCAAGCAGCAGAGCCTCTTTGAGCGTGATGAGAGGGATCTGCATTGTGGTTTTGTGTCGAGCGAGTGGACTGTCTGCGAGGAACAGGTGTGGGCTCTTCAGTTCAAGCACAGCACGAGCAGGTCAAAGGAAGTCGTTGTGATGATCGTAGCGCAGGCCGCAGCAGCTCTTATGCTGCAAGGTCGACGGCGCACCCACGGGGGCGAGGTCCGTGGACGGGACGGTTGGTTCTCGGCCAGACGCAGGCATCGCGGTCCAGGGAGGTCCACATTGTACATGAGACGATGCAGAGTGGTGGCCGAAATTGATTATCGCAGGTGGACCTCGTCAACCAGAAACCTTGGTCGAACGTGACAAGGCAAGCAACGCAAGCAAGTACAGCACAGGACTAGCCGAGACCCGGCAATGATCATCACAGCAGGCCAGCCGGTGGGCCAGTGCCATGTCCAGTCTCAGCGGCTGTCTTGGACAAGTTGGGGGGTGCCCCATCAGTGCGACTCAGCATCCCTGGCCGGCAGGGTCGCACTCGACGACCCGGGGCCAAGGTTCACGTCGTTCGCTGGTGGCCAGAGGAAAATCTACGGCATTCATACTGCGTATTGCCGGAACCCCGGCCGGCCGCACGTCACACTCACGCCCCGGCCGAGCCGGCCGCTGCCCAAACAGGCAAGCCAGAAACGCGGTTGTTTCGCACAGGGGCCCTGCTTCTGGCATGATCGCCGTCCGTTGTTCATGCCTCTCAGGGGTTCGCTCAGTCTGGCTGGGTCCGATCGAAAGGAACAGGCTTCTGACGTATTGCTTGGCGGATATAGTCACATCGGCCCGGAATGATCTGGAACCCCGTGCACTGGCTTCCGTCGGGATCGCTCTCGACTCTGCCATCTACAATCTGTCACCTTGCCAAGAAATTCGCAAGGCTCAGAAGCCGGCGGAGAGCATTACGAATATCCTTGCACGCCGGTGGTGCCCCAGTCCCCCGGGACCAAGGTCGATGGCACGCCCGGTTCTTGCCATTGCCTCCCAGGCAGATCTTTCTGCTCACCTGCCAGACCGGCATGACCAACAGACACATGCTTTGCTGCATGTTTTGCCACAGAGTCCTGCAGACAGGAGGAATTGATGCACTGCAGCATTGGTGTAATCCTCGCTCACTCCGCACGAGGGACACGTTCTGAAGACTCCAACACTTCGCGAACAACCAAGGCTTTTTCCTGTCGCTGCATTGCTTGGGATATTTGTGTCTGAGTGCTTGCATGGCTCGTGGGTATTGTTTCATATCAAGCTTGGCTTTTGTCGGCAAATACAGAGTGTATCACCACGAGAACTCTGTCCAGGGCATAGGGATACATTCCAAAGGGCCCGCGATACTACCTTGTACACTCAATACTGATGGTCGTCGAGGACGGCCAGGAACCGTGCCAAGCAGATACCAGCTCATGTCGCTTTTTGCATCAGGCTTCCACTCGTCATGTGTATGCATGGTCCGGGCCATTCGGGGAGTTTTCGAAGTCGGGTTTGCCTGTAGTGATGCTTTACCATAGTCACAACTTGCCTGGGTAGAAGGAACACTGCCATTGTCCAAAGCAGAGCAACGTGCCACCGGGACGCTATCAGGCAGAAGCAAGTGGCTAAACACAGTCCGCAGCCAACGAGATCACGCGCACAGTCCTGTGGCTTGTCTATTCTGCCTCGTCTTGCAGGGGGGGTTTTGGGCGTCGACGATGAGGGGCCAGTTGCATTCAGCCGCACCTGAAGTCTCGGAGAGGGAACCCCCCAACCATCAGACAATGCCCTGTGCCTCCCTTCTTCCCCGTCGAGTTGTGGTTGTTCCAAAGACTTAACCTTCCGCACTAACTAGTAGGAGCTTCCAAAGCAATAAAAAGCACAAGACTCAAATACTCAATAGCATCCGCCATGGACACCGACGACTACGTCCGCCAGCGCAACACAAGCTGCCTGGCTGACCTCGGCCACTCGCTCGTCCGCCTCTCACCCGACAACATCTCGAAGCTCCTGCTCACAGCCAGCGGACTGCCCGAGAGGCGAAGGGCCGAGGGGGACGCTATATGCGCCCGCCTGGCTGAGCTCAACCCCGATGTCGCCAAGCACTTCCAGTCCAAGCAGACTGCCACATCGCGGCTCAAGCTGCGCATGATCCAGCCTCGGTCTATACAGGCTCACCCCGCAGCCGTAAATGAGACCACAAATGGTGTTCCACAACTTCAAGAGGACCCGGACAGGTCCCGCGAAGTCGACTCCTTCATCGTAGTCAGCTACTGCTGGCACTATCCCGACTGGCCCCTCCCCGCGGCGGCCTCGCCCATCGCGCCGGGCTGGGAGGTGTCGCGGCCCATGGTCGACGAGGTCATGCGCCTCGCCCAGGTCTCGGTGCCCGGCGACGGCGGGGGCAGCGTCTGGCTGGACAAGCTGTGCATCAACCAGGCCGATGAGGACGACAAGAGCACCCACGTCGGCGCGATGGACATGATCTACCGCTCCGCGAGACGGGTCGTCATCTTGCTCGAGAACGTGCAGCTCGGTGACGAGGAGGAGATGGAGGCGGCGCTGGCGTACAGGAAGTTCTACCAGGACATGTGTGACCACGTCAAGGAGCATGATCTCGAGGGGGCGGAGAAGGGGGCATATGTCAAGGAGTGCTTCCCGAGGTCCGAGAAGGAGTGGTGCGAGAGGCACAACTCGGCCGCTTCGTCTGGAGGAAGCAATGAGCCTGCGGGCAAGTTCGATGTGGCGAAGCTCCGAGCCGCAGCGAAGCGATTCGTCTCAAGGCTCTTGCAGGCGCGCTGGTTCACGAGGGCCTGGTGCGCTCATGAGTCTCGAGTCTCGCCGCACGGCAAGATCAACAACCCTCTCTTCCTATGCTTCGCTCCCGACCTGAACAACAACAAAATCACCACAGCACAACCTCGGGGGATACCGGCAGCAGAGTACTCAGCTTCGAGTTCCGCTTCATCCACTACTTCGCGCTGTACCTGTGCGAGCTGGTCCTCGACAGAACCGAGCTCGCCCCCTCGCTGGACATGCTGCCGCACCACCAGACGCGCATCGACGACCCGGGCCCGACGGAGCTGTGGCAGCTGTGGTACCGCATCCAACGCCTCCACCCCGAGCGCGGCGCGGCGTGCTCCGCGATGCAGCACCT